AAGGCTCACACTGATGAAATAATAACTCCCTTCAAAAATGTCAAGCCAAAAGTAATCAGCCGGGTTTGAAAATGTAGGAAGTAGAAGTAAAAAGTTGCCACAAAAAAATACTCAAGTAGATAACTCTACTTAGTATAGTAACAAAATATTTGTACTTCTTTACTGCCCACCTCTGCTGTAGTGCCCGTCAAGCTTAAAGCATGCACTGTTGATAGTTCAGCTGAAGTGTAATCACAAGTGAACCTCAAACGTCGTGTGTTGCACATTCTTTTAGATCCAAACCAATTCAATAAAACTTTATTGAGCCCGAAGGAAATTGGGTAACAGACCTACCACACCTACAAGTAGCATTACTGGCTGCAGAGTGAGAGGGAAACTAAACCTTCATGGAGTTATTTCGGGTACAAGGGCTTTTTTTCTGCTATCAATTTGTTATTTTTAGGTTTTATGTTTAACCCCGACTTTGTTGTAATTATGCAATTTAGAGTTTTTGTGCCTTTTTGATAGTATGGCTGGTTTCATTATGTTTATGCACAGTAAAATTCACTGAGTAAATTTTACTCAAATTGAAAAAAAATTTACTCTAAAAAAGACAGTATGGTTGGTAGCCGAAGAGTCTCTGCAATCTTACAGCCCCTGTCTAATGCATTTAAAGAGAGCATTTTACCTGGTCCAGTGGTCAGTCTCTTGGGGTCAAACGTCTGCCAAATGAAAGCAATATGATTTTGATGTTTTATTGCCAATGTTACAGTTAAATTTTTGAAACTTTTCAATTGTTTCTTAATTATTAAGAATTCATCCAGTAATGGATAAAGTTAAAAATATTAAAAAGTACATATGAAGTTTCTTTCCTAAGTTTTAAGAAAAGGTTTGCAGTGACTTCTTCTACTTTAATAGGTAGGTGGAGTTTCAGTATGGAGTTAAAATAATGATAATATATTATTATTACAAAAAAATAGTATGTAAAAAAACATTTCCAATTGTCCTTAAACAATTCCACGTTTTGTGACTTAAAAAAAAAACAACTAACCTCCATCCTCAGATACCAGTGGGGCTTGTTCAGTGTCAGGAGTTTGGGAATGGGGCGATGGGAGTGGAACCCCTGAGTCTGAGGCAGGTTGGCAGATACGTGATATAGTATACATATATACAAAGGGTCTGCCTTCACCAAAGAAATTGTCGTGGTATATACAATGTGCTCCTGAAATTTCTTGCTTAAAATGTAGTTTTTGTTTGTTTGTTTAATCATTATTTACAATTCAAAGATCATGTATGGGCACGCACATTTTGCATAGTCATGTGGTGCAGTGATGTCTCCGTGCTGCAGCACAGCCTCTTTCAGTGCTACACCAAAGGCTGTAAACCTGTTATTCCTGCTGTCGAGAAGTACAGGGCACTTTTGTACAGCATGTAGTCGTTATTATAGGATCTGAGAGTCACTTCCGAGTTTGTTCTGAGATAGTTTCGTTCTGACGGCTGATAGTCAGAACAGAATACAACAAACTTCCCAGAAGGAACAAGGTTTTGTTTTCAAGGCCAGAAGAAGTTCCAGCTGACCATAAGAGAATTACGTTTTGTGTAATGTAATTTAATGTGCAACTATTAGTATGATAGTAAGCTGTAGTTAAACTACTTTATAAAATCTTGATTTACCCATTCTTATACAGGGAGTGCAGAATTATTAGGCAAATGAGTATTTTGTCCACATCATCCTCTTCATGCATGTTGTCTTACTCCAAGCTGTATAGG